GGAATCCCTAGCCCAAGTTTAAAAAAAAACCTGCCCCCAAAAAAAAAAAAAAAAAAAAGCTTTTAAAAATATCTTGTTTACTTGCACAGTCTCATCAGAAGGTGCTTAAAGGTTATGCATACAAGCTTTTTGATGCTAAGATTTTACTTCAAGTTAGGTGACATGTCAGTCAGCAGGTCTTTACATAAGAATATTGTTGTAAATATTACCCTACTCGTTTGTTTACCTTGCTGCTGTCTAAATTGTAGCTAGGGTGTTCCTGTTTTGCCTTGGCTTGCTCATATTCCCCCAGGCTGCCTGCTGTTCTACTTTTGAACTCTGTACTTTCCTGGTCATCACTAATTAAACCTGGCTTTAGACCTGGGTTTTTATAGGTATCGTCAATAAAAGGTATTGAAAAATCGCGTGTATTATTTGCCAAATTAAGTTGAAATTTTCTGTAATACAAATCACACCATGTACTTATTCTTGAGTCAAAATAAATGTGCATGTACAGCTAAAGTTCATGTTCTTAATTCTTAACAGTGCATTTGCACAATATAACATGGATCAGTTCACTCCGGTGAAGATAGAAGGGTATGATGATCAGGTAAGAGAAAACTTATTACACTTGAGGCTTGTATTACTACACTGTGCAAAAACAATAAAAAATGTTGTTTCATCAAGATGTTGACTAGTTTCATTCTACTCACAAGTTATCACCTCTCCTTCTTCCCCCACACATCATTATATTACCAAACTTTTGTACTTATAGAAGAAGCATAGGTGAAATGTTCTCTTTTAAGTATTGTCTGATACTACCTAGTAACTCTAATTCATTGTTCCTTAAGTAAAGCTCCATGCTGAAGTCACTGGAATTCTACTTAGAGTATGAATGATTAAAGATCACTGTTTATTTAAAGCTCACTTACAAATCCTTATGTTGCTACCTGCTTACATTTCCTACTGACAATCAGTAGTAGATTCTTAATAGGGTTTTTTTGTTTGGTTTTCTTAATTTTTAATCCATTCCCAGATACCCTGTATCTTTGATTATACCAATCTAATACTATCCAGTCTATGCTAGCAAAACAATTTTTTTTTTCCGAGAACAAGCAGCAAGTCCTACAGAAGACAGAAAGCTGGCCTGACCATCTGTTCTGTTCTCTGAGCCAAGTACTGACCTAGGTTTTCTTGTGTCCCAGATATGTTCATGGGAGGCAGATAATTTTTAAGAGGGCTGTCCGCAGAAATAGCTTTGACAAAAGAAAGTTACAGTACAACCTGCAGGAAAAAAAAAAAAAAAGTCAGTGTTTGGGAAACCAGAGAATTATGGTGAATAAGACAAAGGGAGAGGGAAGGTACAGTGCTACTTTGCCGCGTACTTTAGTTGGTGCATATTAGAAGTAGCCACATCTATATACCCTCCTTGACCAGAAGGAGAGCTATTGCAACATGGAACATGACAAGAGATGGTAAATTCCAGAGTGAAATTCTTCATTTCCTTTAGAAATGGGGAAGAAAAACGGCAAAAATAACTTTAAAAGCAAAACCACCTGTTTGTATTGTAAGGATGCCCAACTTTAAGCTAAATATATACATTATTATAATGCTGTCATTTCTAGGACAGAAGACTAAGTGCAGTATTACTGTGAAGAGCAGAGAGTTTACCTACAGCCTCACTACAACTACTCTTAGTTGACATTATTACTGAAAATCCTTGTTTCTTTATGAGACATTGTAGCTCAATGAAATAATCTATTGAAACACTTATTCAAATAGTCAGGGAAGAATGCAAACCAGCACATTTACAGCAGTGTAAGTGTATCTTAATTTCAACTTCTTTTACAGGTCTTAATCACAGAACATGGTGATCTCGGAAATGGCAGATTTTTAGACCCAAGAAACAAACTTTCTTTTAAGTTTGATCATTTAAGGAAAGAAGCGAGTGACCCCCAGCCTGAGGACACAGAATCAGCTTTAAAACAATGGAGAGATGCCTGTGACAATGCATTGAGAGCTTATGTGAAAGATCATTACCCCAATGGCTTCTGTACTGTTGAGTATCCGTCTTGTTTCACTGAAAGTTCATTGCTCCACATCAGTCAGTACCTTGGGTGGACTTTGTGCTGGGCAGTGCTGTTTGAATTCTCCATCCTCACTAGTGTTTTTGCTAACTTTGGAATAACAAAGTTTAAATTTATGGAATCTTGGAATAACAAGTTCCAAAGAGGGTGTAAATATCTTGGTACGCACACAGTGGTAAAGATGTATTGGCCTTATTTTTCACAGCCATGGCTGCCAAGCACCTTAACACCTGCAGTAAATAAAAAGGCATTTTGTGTACATGTGTGCAAATGGAGGTGTTGGACAATGTAATTAGTGGTACATGTTCCCAGTGAGATACCACAATAGCAAGCCTCCACAATGCTGCCAAGAACAGAAATTAAGAATGGCTTTCCTCAGCTCTTGGGCCTTTTTAACTCTTTTTCTAAATACAGGTTTATGGTAAATCTATAGATGGGCAGCAGACAATTATTGCCTGTATTGAGAGCCACCAGTTCCAGCCTAAAAACTTCTGGTAAGACTATTTCAACATAGTGTATTTTCTTCCTTTACTAGTCCTCAAACAAACCCATCCTCTATATCTTCTGACGCAGTCTGAAGGGCAGGTAGTCTTGGGCTTCCCAAGAAGTCCCGCTTCTCATTCTGTAGTCTGTTTCCCTTGCAGCCCCCTTGGCACTTCCCTGAAGCCTTCAGTGTGGCTCAGTGACCTATCCAGAGAGAAGGGCATTAGCAGAGCTAGATAGATACCCCCTGACATATTCCAGAGCACAGGTACACTGGAGCTGGTCTGTACTGAAGCTGCATTGTATTCAGCTGTGCTTCAGAAATTGAATTCAGTGCCATGTAAGGCACTGTGATACAGGCCGTAAGATGACAGCAGAAACAACTTGCTCTTGTTAATTTGGTTCTTTCTGTTAGAGCCTTTTGGAAATGCAGTTTTCATGCTTCGATTGTTTTTAGGAATGGTCGTTGGAGATCAGAATGGAAGTTTACCATCACACCACCAACAGCTCAAGTGGCTGCAGTGCTCAAGATCCAGGTGAGTTACTTTTTCTGGCCATAACGGGAGAAGCTGCATTGTGCTTCTCCCACAGTAACGCATTCGACTCAGAATGAGATGCTGAAATACAGCTGAGATGTCCTTCTCAAGTCAAGGTGCTATTAAACTATGCAATTCAGGAAATTAATTCTTAAAACTAGTGTTTCAGACATCTACAATCTGGCCTGTGATGTATTATATAGCGTTACCCTATATGCCTCCAAGTCTGCTTCACTTTATAGGGCTAAAATCTATACCATGAATTCTTTTATAATTGCTCTTATTTCAACTCTAGGCGTTTACTGCATTAACATAATCTTGAACAGTCTTGACAAAGAATGAAACCTTTTAGAAAATCCATCCTGCTTTTAGTCTCCACGTAAGCAGAGAAGACTGGCACAACAATGCTGTTGTGCCATTCTGGTAGCATTTGGGGGCTCTAGGGATTATAAAATGAGTGTTAATGATAACCCGCATTTTTGTCTCTGTTCAGGTTCATTATTATGAAGATGGCAATGTTCAGCTGGTTAGTCATAAAGATATCCAGGACTCTGTACAGGTTTCAGTAAGTATGCTAAAAGACTTTGTTATGATAAAGCAAATATTTCTTAAACATCCTGAGAAGCATACACTTCTATGACTACATTCTCTTGATTTTAAAGTAATGTAATTTTAGGGTGACTAGTCAGTGTAGTCATAGTGTTTAGAGTTACATGGGAAACCCAGATTCTCAGTTGCGTAAAAGACTCTATTAGAAAGTACAGTCTCTATTGGAAAGCTTATCTTACGAGTTTCAGTTAAAGAGGGCAGAATATGCATTTCTATCTGTATGCAAGGGAAACCAAGAGCCGAGTAATAAGGGAAAGTAAGAAGTCCTGTAGTACAGTAGAGGGAGCAGCAGTCACAAAATCTGATCTATACCATGAAGGTCTACTTCCCGTTCGCTCACTAGGGTGCAGTCCTGTTTCGGTTTGGAGCACAAACCCTAGCCAATATGAGACATCGCAGTGAGTCAAAGGAACCCAGCTACAAACATGGAGCGGAAGGAGCAGAAGCTGCTGCTGTTATCCACTTCATCTATACTCAGCCTATCATTTGAGAAGAAATCTATTGTGTAGCTTTTGTAGGTTGCTCTTAAATGTACAAAAATCTATTTTTCTCCTTTGTAGAGTGATGTCCAGACAGCTAAGGAATTTATTAAGATAATAGAAAATGCAGAAAACGAGTACCAGGTAAGATCAGTGGTTGTTAAATAAATATGATGGAATCATATCAGTCTCCATTTACAGTTAACAGAAACATGGAAAATTGACCTCTAATTCTGTTTCTGGCCAAGTCTGGTATTGACTGTAAGAATTACTTAGAAAAGGGCAGTAGTATTTGTTTAAATAATACAGTTGTAAAGCTATGTGTAATTAATAATCAAGTTTGCTGTATAGTTATTTTAAAGGGTTACAAATGATGCCTGGCACAAGCGTGGAAGGGGAGTGGGTGAGTCTAAATGTTTTCCTCTGTGACAGTTAAAAATACTGAAGAGGAAAAGCGTGTGACAGCTTTTTACATTGTCCCAGCCTGTGTGCAAAGAGGCTCGACACCAATAAGTCAGTGAAACACCGCTACGTTCACAGGGGAGTTTAATAGAAACCCTTTTACTTGTGCGCACACTGGTGACTGCATTATTAATTTAGTCGATAGCGTGCCTTCGCCTTCTGGAAAGGGTTTTGTGGCTTTAACAGTCATGCTTTTTCAGAGTACCTAATTACTGCCCTAACTGAATCTTCTTGCCATTGCAGACAGCAATCAGTGAAAACTACCAGACTATGTCAGACACCACTTTCAAAGCCTTACGCCGGCAGCTACCTGTCACCCGCACCAAGATCGACTGGAACAAAATCCTCAGCTACAAGATTGGCAAAGAAATGCAGAATGCTTAATGCGGAAATAAGGAGATTTGTGAAATGTTTGTGTGCAAAAAACAAATGTGGTCCTATGCCAAGTAGATGGTTTCTAAACCAGTGCAGCATTTTCCTAGGGCTTTCGAAGTTAACAGGTTTTCTAACCTCAGAGAGAACTGTGGAAAAAATAGCGTTGTCTTTGTGTTTTGTGTTTCCTGCCGCATAAACTTCCTATTGTGACTGCATTTACTGATAGGTCATTTTAATTAAGCCACATTCATGGTTCAGAAGTATAGCTGTTTTCAATCACCGATTGTACTGGTTGGAAAACTTCCTAGCTGGAAAAGCCCTATTATAAATACAGCTGAGGGTGCAGAGCGTTCCCTTCACCCATATACAGCACTCCAGGTACTCCAGTAAGTTTGTCAAATCTGCCAACAGCTCAAGGCGCTATGCTGCAAGATACAATAAATGCAAAAGACCGTCAGTCCTCATGTATTACTGACCTCCACAAAGCAAAAAGCCTGCAGGCTTAGATTTTACTATATGAAATGAGTTTACAAGATCCTTTACAGAAACCCCTACGCAGCCAGCTCTTCCAGGGACGTAATATATATTTTTTTTTAAATCTGAAGATTTGAGCCATGTTCCCTAAAAGTGAACACTTTTGCTCTCCCCTCCCTCATGTATGTACGGTTATCAGACATCTGCATTTTTACAGAACTACAAGTTCCTGTGTTGAATCACTGCTGATCCATGTAGGCTGGATAGTGATTAAAGATGCAAATGTCTACAGAATAATAGGTATGTTGTGCTTTAATGCTTTGTGGCAGGTTCATAGAATTTGTATCACAGGTGTATGGATGGATAGTGTACAAGATAAATAAACTTGCACCAAAGTGAGAGAAAAAAATCCTTTCTGTTTTGTCTCAGTTGTGACCAGTTTCTTGTCAAACGGGATTTTGGAATTAATCTCTTTGTTGCTCTCCAAATGCTTGCTCTATGCTACCTTGTCTTTCTGTGAAATCCAAACTAGCAGTCCTTCCAGTTTCGCTCAAGGGGAGGTTGAAGGGGCGTGCGTGTGCCCTTCTCAGTCAGAGCTCGGAGCATGGATTCACTGCCAGATGAAGCGCCTTTGGTGAACTTGCTTCGCTTTGTTTGCACTTGGTTATCACTGGGCCTTGTAGGTTCAGGTTTTTAAGCTGGCTAGTGTCTTCCTATTTTTAAATACACAAAGAAAGGGGTTGGGAAGATAGGGATTGGGCTGCCTGTGCATTACACTTCCGGTTTTGCACAGTAATACCACAAAATAAGTGCATCTATCCTTTGTGGGAGGTTTTGTCTAAATAAAATATATTTGTATTTGCTGTTGAGACCGACCATTCATCCCACAGGCATCCTCTGTATCAAACAGCCTAGTAGAAATACACTGGTCTTTGTTTTAAAGCCATTTGTGTCTGTTCTTTCATGGTCTTGCTTCTGTTGGCTCCTAACGGGCTCAAGCTGTGCCAGGGGAGGTTTAGGTTGGATATTAGGAAAAATTTCTTCACGGAAAGGGTAGTCAAGCATTGGAACAGGCTGCCCAGAGAGGTGGTGGAGTCCCCATCCCTGGAAGT